TTGAGTATATGGGAATTGTGGTGTGGGGAATAGGATAGTATATGTATTGTGGTATAGGGGTTTCGGACTGTATGGTAATTGTCGTGTAGGGGATTTGGGCAGTGTGGGTATTGGGGTGTAGAGTTTGGGGATGTTAAGGTATTGTGGTGTAGGGGAATTGGGTATTGTGGTATAGAAGAAGTGAGCTGTATGGGTATTGGGGTGTAGAGTACTAGTCTTTGGGATGTTTGGGTATTGTGGTAAAGGGGAATTGGGTATTGTGGGTATAGGAGAAGTGAGCTGTATGGGTATTGGGGTGTAGAGTTTGGTGATGTTTGGGTATTGGGGGATTGGGTATTGTGGTATAGGAGATCAGGGATACTGGGGTGTTGGGGTTTGGGAAGAAAACCGACACAGTCCAGACTCGATAATTTCCGATTGTGAAAACGGGTGGTCGCAGTTCAAGTTTAATCTTGCAGATTGTGTGACGTGTGATCCCAACAACCTGGATCAGCGTCCCTCCGGCAACCAGTGACCTACTTTCTATCATACACAGACCTCCCAGATAATACCTTTTGAATACAACAAACGGTTTAAAACAACACTCATATTGTCTAGTGTGTGTACATCTACTATCTTCCTGGTTGTATCGAGGTCATGTATTTAAATATGCAGCAACGGTTTGTTGGTTTTAGAATTTGTTAACTGAACCATATATAGTTACACTTTACATACAACCAAGGTTAAGAGGGTCCGTGTGCATAACACTGTCGTTTACATTGGGTTTTCAGACCAGCGAGGTGGATGTAATCAATCCAGATCGTCTGTGATGCCCTTTTGACCCAGGTATTTAGTTACTCTCTATAACTGGTACTGCGCTTTAGGGGCTATCCCTTGAACGCCCTGCCCCAAAACGCCGCGAGGCCTGTCTCTGAGAGCCATTAGCAAGTAAGGGGCGATTGTATCTTGGTGCTAGGAGAGTGAGGGGTTCAACTTTTCAGTACCCCTGTACCCGAACTACACTTAAAATAACCTCCCTCTACTCACACTGCACTTACAATAACCTCCCTTTACCCACACTACTCTTACAATAACCTCCCTCTACCCACTCTACTCTTACAATAACCTTCCTCTACTAACACTACCCTTACAATAACATCTCTCTACCCACACTACCCTTACATTAACCTCCCTCTACCCACACTACTTCTTACAATAACCTCCCTCTACTCTTACAATAACCTCCCTCTACCCACACTACTCTTACATTAACCTCCCTCTACCCACACTACTCTTACAATAACTTTCCTCCATATATCCACAGTACCCTACAACATCACATCATAACACGAGTGTCCATATACGTTGTACCTGCAGAAGATCCTCAATTTGCTCACATTATGTCAGCAATACATGTTGTAATACCTCCCACATCCAGTGCGTGCAAACGAACGTAGACAAACATCTAGTCTTTGAATTGAACATTTCTTACTGAAAAAAAGTTCTTAAGTTCACTTAATATAATGCAATAAGCTGCATGTTGTAAATTGCCACATATTATAAATGGGGTTCTTGGATATAATTGCTTCGGCGTCTGTATGAATAAAATGAACCGTCTCTCTGCATCAGCTGATTCCTCAGTCCTGGTATCCCCCTTCCCCCCTCCACTCCCCGCTCAGCTGTGGGATTAAGTGGCCTGTCACCGCATGACGCTAGCCCCAGTATCGCAGTGACCGTGTTTGATCTCGTCTTGCAGCGGGCAAAAACTTTATGTTAAAAACTTAAGCTGAAGTTTGACATATGACGCACGGTCGTACGAGACTAAGACGTGGTTGCAGAGAGGATTGGTACAGTACTGTTGGGGTTTATTGCACAAACACACGCGGTCACTGCGTTGTAGACGGCGAGGGCCATTAGCATGATGTTTACATGTACAGAAAACATGCATAAATTTATTTTTATGTGCATGAAGAATGTGATGAAGACAACTTGATAACAGACGTATGTCTCCATTTACAATGCCTTTTCGTGTAGATATCATAGAGTCAAATATTTGTCGATTGCATTATCTATCTGTAGAAGGAGAAATGTCAGTCTTCACTGGACTAGCGAACAACGATGGTCGTCGAAGTTGTAGACTGACTGACTGAGTTTAGTTTTACGCCGCTTTTAGCAATATTCCAGCAATATCACGGCGGGGGACACCAGAAATGGGCTTAACACATTGTGCCCATGTGGGGAATCGAACCCGGGCCGTCGGCGTGACGAGCCAACGCTTTAACCACTAGGCTACCCCACCGCCCCTCGAAGTAGTAGTAGTAGTGGTAGTAGTAGTAGTAGTAGTAGTAGTAGTAGTAGTAGTAGTAGTAGTAGTAGTAGTAGTAGTAGTGGTGGTGGTGGTAGTAGTAGTAGTAGTAGTAGTAGTCGTGGTGGTGGTGGTGGTGGTGGTGGTAGTATAGTAGTAGTAGTAGTAGTAGTAGTAGTAGTAGTAGTAGTAGTAGTAGTAGTAGTAGTAGTAGTAGTAGTAGTAGTAGTAGTAGTAGTAGTAGTAGTAGTAGTAGTAGTAGAAGTAGTCACATCTTGTCACGGCCAACATCATGTAACACCGACATGTAAGGGCCGTCGCCATCTACATTGATAATTTACTCTTACTGTCCAGCAGCATAATTTGCTGCAACGTAATTTGTGAAATGTTTTCGTGACTGCAAATCCTGCTTTTAGCGTCGCGTGACCGCGGAAGGATTTTAGATATGACTCACTGTCCGTCAGTGGCGAGAATATCAACCCATGTGGGGAATCGAACCCGGGCCTTCTGCGTGACGAGCGACGCTTTAACCACAAGGCTGTCCAACCGCGGCTAAACAGAAGGAGAGCAGAGGCGCAGAAAGCTGAACCCAGCTAACAATTTCACGCTGTCGCAAAGTCACGTCACAACGTTGAGTTTGCGTTGTGAAACGTCCCATGTTGGGAATGGACGAGCGGACGCTTTAAACACAAGGCTACTCACCGCCCCTCATGCAGTGAGATCATCATCCTCCTCTTCTTCGTCGTCATCAATGCGGAAAAGATTAATTATTAACTGTGTCTCGAACAAGTTTGTTTGTTACATGTTACGCACCTATCCGTGACATATGCAACAAGATAGATGAACTCTATAAATGGATGTTTGTGATTATCTTCGTTGCGGTATGTTGAATGTAGACAGAATGCGTCAGAGCTATCGTATTGTTGAATCATGTAATTTGTGGCCTGTACCACATGTAATGCACATAGCATGTAATTTGCAGCTAAGCACCAATATTTAGGTCTGACAGGTGAAACTTTAGTTTGATACAGATGGCCTTGGTTGACAACTTGACCCCACATAAATCATCTGCGTCAGGCCACGTGAGACAGTATGCGTTTGTCGTCGCTGTCGGCGAAGATGCAACGTCATCATGCAGTTTACTGTATGCATTGTCGGCGCTTCTGATAAATATACTGAACAACATTAGAAACGCACCACCCATATAATACAAAAATATCCCCGTCAGACTGAAATGTACCTATGATATCTGAGCATCGTCGGTGTTTTATAGTGTGGTGCGTTTCTAATGTTGTTCAGTATATCTATTTAATTAATCTATATGGATCTAAAGCACTATGTTTTACCACACAATAATCATGAATAACTGCGAGTGAGTGAGTTTGGGTTTTACGATGCTTGGAACAGTTTTCCCACTGTATTACGGTGTATCGGGGGGAACGCCCGAAGTGAGGAAGGTCCCTAGTCTGTCTCACAGTCCCTGTACCGCATTATTTCCCCTCTGTCCTGCACTTCAGCACTGCTAAAGGATGAGGAATCATCACAACTCAGCAGCCGCTCAAGCCATCCTCCAGACTGCCTCCAAAAAGCTTATTATTGAAAGGATCAGGCATCATCGCAAAAAGAAAATCATCAACTTCGGCCAAATAGAACAACACCTTCAAAAACTAAATTCAACAATGTCGCCTGACCTCTACAAAACACTACGTAGTGCCCAGAACCACGCCAACAACAAATTGGACTCCAAAATGTATATATACCCCTCATCATCTGGTTCTATTCGCTTTTATTCACGCTTGATAACGATGTAAGAATCTACATCGAAACGTCGCTCACTAAATAAGAAGTTGTCATCCATGAATTTGTATGTTTCATTTTTGAGTCACCAACTTCTAGAATGCCGATCAAACAATTAATGCTAAACCTCTAAATGAAGCAAGTCTAGATTTCCTCAGGTCTAAATCTTCCTTCTCAGTGGGACTCCTTTCCAAATTAAAATGAATAATATTACATGTATTTGTTTCTATCAAATTTATTTATATTCAGAGACTAAGCCTTAGTCAAGGGAGGTCCCCAACATTAACCACTTTGATGAAACCCGTTAGCACGGTGTGGTGATTAGAAAACAAGAAACAATCTGGATTCGATCCCCGATCTTTGGTTGATGATGTGTTTCCATGCTACGCAACTCCTCACAAGGACATGCTGCCTTGGGCACTCCGGTTCATGTGCGCGAGTATTTTGCGGTGAAATCGAGAGTTTATGGCCTGTTGTTCTAATCGATTTACTTTGTGAAATACCAAGGAAATTACCTCGTAAGGATGAGAAAGCCGCAATAACTCGGTGCGCCTCGTGGCTGCAAGAGTTGGATGCTCCCCGGGGAGTTGAGATTGATGATAAGATGTGCCGTTGAGACTGACATCCAATGAACAATACCAGCATGTACTAGCTGCGTGGATATGTGCGCTATATAAATATCCTATAATAATAAATTGTATAGCATGTAATTATTTCGATTCTGCTATCAATACCATGGCGATAGGATTATCAACTTTGTTCTATACACTGGTTTTGAAATCTCCATTAGCACTACCCGTCCCCATTTTACACCTCCCTTGTTCAAATACGTCATATAATTACCGGCTAAGCGTACAAGGTTCTGAAACAAGCATATCACAACAACCCAAGGCGTTGAGCAAATATCATATGTCACAAAACCCGTGTTTACGCAATTCTTGATTCTACAGACGCTATTGCGTAAGAGTTTGTTGTCTTGGTTTAAATGTGTGTCCAATGGTCATTACACAGAGCAGTGGGGGAAAATGGGGTGGCCGGTGATGTAACCCTTGGCTTACCCCTCAAGGCAACGCCTTCCAGACCAGTTGTCGAAACATACATTGAGCGATGGTGTTGGGTCTTATAGTGAATGCCTTACGTGTGGTGACGGCATATAAAGGCATTGTTCCCCATTTTTCTGTTGACGTAATTACCAGGTTAATTCAACTCGGACACAACCGTCAAAAGAAAGTTATTCAACTCCCACTGGAGCGTAACGCCAAGCAGTCAGTGGATGATCTGATAGCTGTCTCGCCCGAACGATTTGTAATCTCCTTGCTGCAGTCGATTCTATCAGCCGCGTCTACCCGTGTGTTGGGCCTGCGTGTCTGAAAACAGGCTCTGTCTTTCTCAGTAGTTACAGATGGTAAAACCTGCGAGCTTAAGAACCCAGATGGATCTTTAGCAACGGGAGAAATACACTTTAGCGAGGCCCCAGTGTAGAGACTAAGGATACCTAACTCAAACTGAGATCCAGTGGATATTATATACGTGTGACACTAAAAGGTAAGACGCGTCCCTTATTCGTCTTATTTACATGAATTTAGAGATGGTGATATGCGATGTTATTGGTTGTGTGCCATCTTAAGATGGTCTCAAATTTGTTGACAGTTATATCAATGACATGTACACAATCTGTATCGCCCGTGAAGACTGAGTACATAAATTAAACTTTTAACAGTACTCAATAAGGTGATGTCCAGTTATAATTATATATGTTCAGGGGCGGATACAGCTTTTTCAGAAAGGAGGGGTGCACACTTCATTTTCACCCGTTTTCATGGGTCATTTTATAAACTTTCAGTACAAGGGGGGGACCCCTGCACCCACCCACTGGATCCGCATATGATGTTAACTGTGATGTGCTTCAATAATACCTTATAGCAGGGAAACCACCTTCTACTGAAAGAATGTATATAACAAGATCAGTGCCTATGCAAATTTAATGTTTAAATATGCTAGATCAACGGCGTTAGTATTTTATATGGTGCCCATGATGTTGTTATGATGTGCGGTGTGAGACAGGTTGCGTCTGTATGTCGATCCTTGGATCGTCGTGGCATACCTGTGTTAAACACAACTCTTTTAAAGCGCTTTGTCACGCATTGTCACAATGCTTCTGTTGCCGATGAATTTGTGACAATTGTGACAGTTAGGTTTCCGCAAACAAACAGGTTTGTCACCAGCTCATAATGTCCCATGTTGGAACAAACAAGCCATCGTTATTTTTCTTGAAAGGTTCTATATCTGTTTTTGAAACAATAGTTCTAAATGTTCCAATATAAAACAAAACAGTCTAAACTTTCACGTTTATATATATATATAAATATATGTAGTTATTCGAGTTAAGTAAACAACGGTTATAAAGAACTCGAAAAACCATACTAATTAGTTCATTATAACCGTATAGTTCGTTATACACATTTCGACTAAGAGACAGTTCGTTATATCCGATATGTCGTTATAGACTTAGTTTATTGTAAAAAATCGGATCACAACAAAGGTTAACTACGTTTATAACGAACTCGAGGAGACCACTGATTTAGTTCGCTATAACAGTAGCTCGATACATGCATTTCGACTATGCAGCAAGTGGCTGGGACCAAAATCAGTTCGTTATATCCGATATGTCGTTATAAGCGTAGTCGTTATAGACATAGTCTAATGTATTTATTCGGATCACGGTTTTAGTTCGCTGTAACCGTAGTTCGTTATAAACATTTCGACTATGCAGTTCGTTATATCCGATCTGTCGTTATAAGCGTGTTTATTACAAGTGTACTTTATTGTATGTACTCTAGAACTGGGCAAACAATCCACATGCTAATCCATACAAACAGATACTATTACTTCCCACCGAGTGTTTGGGGATCGTATTGATCCTCCTTCATTGCCCTAGCCTGAGGCACCTTCAACTCTTACCCTTCCTAGCCCCGTGACATGATTGAAGGGTCAACGGAAAGCATTGTTGTACATCGAAATTGACCATGTCAGTTAAAAGTTCAATCTTAAGTTTCAAACAGTGATTACAAATGCCTTGTTTGAAATGCCTAGATGTAAATCATTCTGGTAGCGTCGGTATCGTGAAAGACTCTGTAGCTCACCTTTCAGCATTAGGCACGACAGCTGGTTTGTTTGGATACAACCTAAGCTAACATGCACCGACTGTACGCACGCGACACAAAAAGAAATGTAAATATAACCAACAAAACCAGGAACAAAAAAACCCTGAAAGACGCAATCCTGTTTAATCCGATGCTTTGTAAAATGGTGTGGTTAACATGTTGGGACTTTGTATTGGACACACATCTTTTACTTTCGATAAAAGAACTGTTGGAAACCACGAAGGTTTTTAATATTCTGAATTAATGTAACACTGTATTATTTAATATTTAAGAAATACAGTTCGATCTCCCGCTATTTATAGTGTAATAAAGTGCTCTTTTGCCCTGAGCTATTATAGTTAAAGTACTAGGACGTTTGCTTCCGAGTGTGTAACGTTATAATAGTTCGGGGGAAAAGTGTACTTTATTACACTGTACATTGGGGTAGAGCGAACTGTATTTCATTTCTAAGATGCCAAAATTAATACACACAGGAAATAATCTAGGCTGAAAACAAACAGAAAAGCTACGGTGTCGGTGACCTAAATTAACAATCCCTGTTCAGGGCTAACTGACGGGCTCTTCCAGTGACGTGTCTGCCCCCCTACGTAAAGACGCACGTTGTCGTGAAAACAAAAGATAAACAGTTTGGACACGGTTTACGTTGGAGTTAAATATCTTTTCTATATTATTGTAGTTACGTCTGTGATTATTGTAAACCACATTGGGAAATGTGAACGTCGCACTTCTACTACCAACCAATATGTATGGATATTTACATGACTTCAAGTTACATAATCGTTATAAAACATAATGGAGTGTGTTTTCGTTTGGATAATTCTGCGTCGCGGACATGTGTATGTAAACTCTTTTGATCGTAATACGGACCACTGACGCTAACTCATTTATTTCAAAAGCATAAAGATTTAGAGTGACAAAACAAACTGTCCACAAGACTGTATGACAGGAGGGATGCCTTTCCTACTGCCAACTCTAACTTCACATTGAGCAATATTCTTACTACTGATGCAACTGGTGTTTATATTTCACATCTTTTAAGGTACAATTACACATGCTCATTAAACACTTATTTCAATTAGCGTCATATGACTTCCGCGAAATTGTTGTTTAGAGTTACAACAAACAATAGACCGATCCAGTCTGTCAATCAAAACTGGCGCATGCGTCAATTTTGGCCAATCAGCAGGCCGGGCCCGTTGTGTGGATTTGTCAGACTTATTTCCAGGGTCAAACGATGCATCCGAAGCGATGTGCTTCAAATTATGCCATTTACACTCGCTATATTTATTACATATTGCTGCGATTTGATGTGTACCTTAACAAAACCATTACGGTCAAGACAACAAAAATGGAGGCGGATCAAGAAACGCGATAGGCCTGACGATCAGTTAAATGTCTGCACCATCGTTCAGGAAACCTACGTCTGCCTGCTGATGAGAATTTGCACGAATTTGCACACTTTTGCACATGTGCAAAATCATTACCAATTGATGACAACAAATAGCAGTTTAAGACTTTGCAAGTGTTATAAACACGGACAATTCTTGTAACTACAAAATTGTTTTCGCTTCACATTTTAGTCACTACTAGGCATTGAGTTGGTACGCCACAAAGCTCAAAAGAGACAGGCGAGAAAGCCGTGACACAATGTAAACAAATTTTCATTTCGGTTAGGTTCAACCGAAATAGCAAAACATGTTACATGAAAGAACAATGTGGCGGATATTGTCCCCTTCGCTCTTAGATATTCTTCAATTTGTCACACATTTTAGGATGTTTTAAGTTTCATAAGCACAATCTGAAGGCCTACGGTATCTTGTTAACAGAGCAAAATATTCGATGAGTAATATTTTTTATTCAAACGGAAATATTGTCAGTGTCAGCAGTTGCCTATCATGCAATATCCAAGTATCAAAATTAGTTCATATGAGTGCCTATAAAACCATGCTTTAAATATTTCAGATTTTTTATATAGAATTGCATGGGACTTTGACCTGAATTACCATCCTCCAGGTTGATCGAATACGAAAACTATGTGAGAAGAATAGTGACTTTCTGGAGTATTGGACAGAGTGAAATAAAGTGTATATCTTAATTATGAGAACATTATTTGAAGTTTTGTTACCACATAAATTATTCACATATAATGGTACATTTTAGGAGTAATATTACAACTGTAATTTTGATTAATTCACTGGAAATGATATCAAGGTACATGTTTTCAGAATCTTGCTTTTTAGTAAACGTGGAAGGGAAATAAAATTAATAATAATCTAATCAATAATAAATAATTATTTAATTGATTGACATATCAGATTTTTAGATTTTAAAGGCAGAACTAGGCAAACAAACACCATACATATCAAGGCAGGACAATCACTTGGTATTAACTTAGTTTCTTGGCTCCTGCTTTTAGATGTTTTTTTTAAATACTACATTTACTAATAAGATAATTCTGAAAGTGATTGCTAGTATCATAACTCATTAAAGTTATTTCAACATCCAGAATATTTGAAAAAGCAAAGGCTACATTTTGGTCAAACCCTGGACAGGCACTATCTAGTCCTGGAACAGAATAACTTTCAAAAATCTCAGGTGACTTTTCATGTAATGGAATAAAGATTGAAACATATATTAAACCCACATTTGATGTAATTCTTCTGATTAATCATAAGTTTTTTAGGAGGTTACTACTATTTGAAGACTGACCCAAAGCTAGTGTTTATTAAGATGGTGGATTTGGACAAATTGTTCAAGGTTTGTTGATGGTTATTTGCAAAATGAGCTTCATATTAAATTGCACACAGGTTTGTAGGAGGTGAACGCTTCAGGACATTTTCATGTCTGTTTTCCTAAACCTTTGTTATGACTTTTACCAAATTTTGAATCAACTTTAACTACAACTTTTATGACACCAGTAAGTATCTCAGAAAAGGAAATAGATCAAAATCAGTGTTATGTCCCCTAGGGATATGGTCTCAGATCTAATAAAACAAAGATTATCATTGTTTAATTAGGAAGCAATAATTGTATTGACAGAAGGCTTTGAACATAGGATATATTCTTTGCACCTTATTTACACTAGTAGTTAACAGTTAGGCATATCTGATAAAAAAACAATAGATCTACATTTGTATTTTGTGTAACATTCTATTTCAATGCTAGTTAATTGTTCGAATAACTGTGGATTCTCTGTTCCAAAGTTTTGCATCGCATGTTTCCTATTTCTGGAAGATGGGTCAGTTTGTGTACAGGTGCAGACTGTATCTTGGATCTTCTTTGTGTTCTGGTGCTGTGACATACCTGTACATAAACGTTGGTAGTTCATGAAGTCCAGTATTGTGGAACCCAAGTAGCATGCCATCATCGGCCCGACATCGG